GCAAATAAGGTGGTTTTAACTCTTGCTCACTGAACCCTTTAATAGTAGCAGCCTGTTACTGAGGTCCAATGGTCCTCTTTAAAGTTCTGGCTGGAAATACCTTCACAATTCAATGTAAGAATAAATATTACAGCTATTGTGTTCCAAAAACACACAGTTTTAACACAGACCTGCCATTCCATTCTCCTAAAGAAACAAGAGAGCAGGAATGACTCTGCTAAAGAATATCTTTCCTGCTCCACTAAACAGAAATTCAGAACCATCTTCCAGTTAATTAGCTCTTTCCTTTAGAATTAGCACTTTGAACCCCACCCCACCCCACCCCACCCCCCGCAAAAAAAAAAAAAATCCTAAGTGGGTTTTTTTGGCAAGGTGCAAGTTTTTTAAATGGACATGCAAGTATGGCAGTTACCCCACCACAGAGAGGTCACACTTCCTATAGTTCTTGGTCATCTTAACATGCTGCTAAACATTCATACTTTGTTTGCAGATGGCTCCAGGTTTGATCCTCAACATCTACAGGTATGTAGTGATGGGAAAGGCTCGGTCTGAAATCTTTTAGAGCCACTGCTTGGGAATATAGTCATGCTAAGCAAGATGCCCATTCAGTATGAGGAAACACCTTATGTTCCAAAAACCTATGTATAAGGTAATGTTTATTCCTGCCATCCAGCAGTCCCCCACAAATACATGGAGGAAGGCATTACATAAATAGAAAGAATATACTCCCATGTTCTTGAAATGGTTTAACAACAAAACCTGGAATAGAATACAGGTAAAATGCCATGTTATTTTCTCCTACTATATTTTGAGAAGTTGCTGGGCTAGAACGGAACCTAATTAACTTAGGCATGTGGTGGCTTCACTTCCCCATTAATTTGGTAAGGGTGCATCAGAACTATTACAGCTTAGTAAATTCAAGGAAACACCACAGGACAACCTACCCCATACTTACTGAAGCATATTTGGACTGGGTTTGCACAACATTACCTGTGGAAACTGGGTCCCCTTTAAAAGGGGGATGACAGCACAATGGGGGTAGCTTATTGGAACTTGTACAGCCATACATCCCAGTCTAAAATCACCCACTATCCTGTCAAAACCTCATTTTAAAGGGAGCCCAGAATTCTGACAGCCACCAAGAGCTACCAGTCAAAACTTTTTTTTTTTTTTTTTTTTTTCAAAACAGGAAGTGGGATGCACTTTCACACTTTCCCAAGCGGCTAAAGTCTTGGGGGGAAATACAGCCCATACATCTCTCTGAGACTATGGGGTGGAGGGGGGGGGCGAGGCTTTAGCCATAAAGGAGATGTAAATCTCACCACATTTTCACAAGTAAAACTCAATTATGGCTTTGATTCACCTTGACAGTTTGCATTTTGACAGCTTACAAGAGAATTCCAAAGGGTAAAAAATACCTATTTGGACCCTCTTTGGCCCAAATGACACTGATAGCAGAAACCCACCCTCAAGATTGCCCAACCAAGTATCCTATTTCCCCACTCAAGCAATTCCAGCTAAAATGTTTTAAAAAATAGCAGAATGAAAAATTTTGCACACATTCCATGCACAAAAATAAAGCATTTTTGCCAACCACTGTCAGCTCCTTCAAGGGTGCCAATTGAGAACGTCAAATGGCTGTCAGCAGCTGTCAAAACAGAAAATGCAAAAGCCAATTGTAAAGCCAGATTTTGCAATCTCTGCAGAAAAATGGGTGAAGTCACAAAAAATGACAGCAAGCAGAAATCTGCTCACAATCACAGTACAGAGGGGAAGCCAGTACTGCAGCAGGTTTTCCTAGAATTCCTGTGTGAAGAAAGGAGGGGGTGAATTCATGGGCAGCCCAATCATCAAGTGGATGCACCATGGACAGTTCATACAACAACCAACCCACTGTGGCTTAATGCCAGGGTAGTTTGTCAGGATATGCAAATGCACCCATGCAGTATGAAGCAGTTCAGGCTTGCTAAAAATTGTGCAATATTTCAAATAGCTGCTGTGATCCACAGTAAGCCTTGTGAAGGCTCCACTTGTGAAGGTAAATACCATGTGCGAGAAAAATAATTAAATGGGCCTCTGAAGAAGAATAGAACAGGTTGAGACATGATTGTTGCTCTTCAGAGCAAGGATGGACAGATCAATTGCGTCCTACTGGTAGCTCCCTGGGTGATCTGGTGTAGATCAACAGGGATTTTTTAGTCTCAACAGGAAAAGGCAACTATAAGCGATTATATTGCTTTAATAAATGAGAAAATAAGGTTTGGAGTAACCAGAAAAGCATGAAAGACTGTGAACTCCTTTCTGTTACATTGCACAAATTCTTGGGCTCAGATTCTTTAATACTATGTATATGTTATTGTACCTGGTTCCAATGGGTGAATCTCTATTTTCTAGTTTTAAAAAAAGCAGTATAGATCCAACAAGCCAGAGATTTACTCTTTGCCTAGACTCTTGAATTGTATTCTAAAAGAGCAAGTGAAACCACAAAATAGCAGACTCGATCATCACTGTCACAACAATCCCCAGTACAGTTACAGGCAACCATGCCTCAGGGTGCACTGATTACTTCAGACTGCTCTTTAGGCAAGAGGTAAACTGCTACTAGACACCCATCCCCATGACAGCAAGGCATCCTGCTGTTGTTGCTAGAAGAAAAGAACTAATTCTTGCTTCCTCTGGCAACACTCACACCTCTCTCCACAAAGGCGAGCCAAGCAGCTCTCTTTGCTTTAAGTGAGACATATGGACAAATCAGGGACTACTTTTCATACAGACACCAGCAGACCTCTTCCCTTGGGAGGCCTTGTTGAAAAAACAAAACATGCCAAGCAGGGTGGAATCCTGGCAGGGCAAGGGGCTGGTAAGGAATGCACCTCTCCCTTAGGTGACGTGAAAGCCATACCAAAATTAAGCCTTCTTTCCCAGAAACAGACTCTCAGTTGCCAACAGTGTGCTAAACAAAATCCTGACTATATTATGGCTCAGGAAGTTTTCATTCCTAAAAGACAGCTCTTTTTATAGGAATAATACCAACTAATATCTTTTAACTTTGTACCATAACCTAAATGACCAAGGAAGCATTAACTTTAACAACCAAATTACCAGTAGTCAGGTCCAATTACCAGAGTAGTTCAACAGGGCATATTCCAACCCCTTTGTTCCTAATTTATATATAAAAGACATGGTGCTCAGACTGAGAGGTGATAACTTCTTTCCTGTTAAGACTGCATTTCCAAAAAATGCCAGTGTTGTTGCAAGCCAATTACATAACCTTACTTGCTCAAAGTAGCCTTGGCTCTCAAATGGCCAATGCAGGTGTAAGATGACTGTCCATTCTGTTTTCCTAGAAGCTAGATGACTACTTAATTGAACAAGCTGCTTTTTTAGCTAATGTGACCTGGATGTACAAATTCAACATGTTTAAGGTACTTGTATTATTCTTTATTTTATTTCTATTCTGCCCCTTTTCCCAAGGGAGCCCAGAGTGGCATGCCAACACTTCGTAACATTAAAAAACATTATACTTCACAGACCCAGTCTCAAACTGTAAGGCCCCAGGGCCGGGTAACATCCCAAAAGCTCAGGTAAAGAACATGTTAATTGTAATCAAAAACTCAACAAAATGACAAGAAACTGCACTTCCCATAATTCCAGGAACTTCCTTGTGGAGAGCACCACAGAGAACAAGTTGCTACAACTACTAGTTAGATGATGAGCACACACAACCCCCATCATAACCTGATCTTATGATGGTATCAATAAGGAAAGAGATTGTTTAAGTGCTTCAGTTGTATTTTTCCAGTGCTTTGCATGCAAGTACCAGCACCCTGAATTGGGCACAGCAACTCACACTAATCTTCAGTTATTTAGACATTTCAAAACCAATTTACTATATGCTCCCTTATGGGTTTCTGAAGCCTAAGTTCATAAAGTTCAAACTTGGGTTAGAGCTCATTATTGCATCTACTCAGTGGTGGTGAGGGTGGCAAAGAGACAGTTCTTTTCCACCAGCATTGCATCATCCAGTGAAGCTTTTCTGAGTGATCTGTGGTCTATTACATTCTTGGACAGAGAAAGAAATTGGGGAGCTCTTGGTAGCTTGGTGTGATGAATTTGCACAGCACACTTAAGAAAAGTTGTTCTGATTCATCACAAATTGGACACCACAATTAATGCAGTTCCACTAGCAGAGGCATACAGAGCATCATCTAGCCCTTTTTCATTGGATGAATTTCAGCTATCGAGGCCCAAGGATGTAGACAAGGTGCTTAGTAATGTCTAGCCCACCATTTGTGTTCTTGAGCCTTGTCCCTCATGTCCAACTACAACAATTATGGAAGGAATTTCTCCTTGAGTCCAGGAGGCTACAAACGCCTCCCTAAGAGAGGGAGTGGTGCCAGCCTCTATAAAAGAGGCTGCAATTAAGCCACTCCTGGAAAAGCCTAACCTGGACCTAGAAGGTATTAATTACTACAGGTCAGTGGCCAACATCCCCTTCCTGGGCAAGGTGGTTGAGCAAGTGATAGCTGAACAGCTCTAGGCACTCTTGACTGAGAAAGATTATCAGTCAGGCTTCAGGTCTGCTCCCAGAGCAGAGACTGCCTTGGTCACTCTGACCTAAGCTGGGAGAAACGGAGAGGGAGTGAGACTCCAAAGGAGGAATGGGTACAAGCATTCCGCCTGCCCAAGATCCTCAGCAAATAATGTATGGACATATGCCACCTCTGAAAGCCAGGGTTATTGCAGTATAAGATTGAGAGACATTTTTAAGCCTCCTTGAGTTCACTGAAAGGAAAAAAGGTAAGACATAAATATAAATAAATAATAAGTGAATAAATAGACCACTTATGGTCTCCAGAGATCTTAGCCTATAGTTCCTATCAGTCCAAGTCAACTCAGCCAATTGTGAGGTATCCCAGGGAATTTCAGACGAAAGCATCCACATGGCCAGAAGCTGCCACTTTGAACAAAGCATCTACCTGTATCATATATTGCCTTACCTCCTTGGTGACTTAACAAGATGCGATTTGATTGTTCTTGGAATCCAGGTTCCACCAGATCTCTCCGAGTATGTGCTGATGTCTGATCTACGCTGTCCTGGAAAAAGCATGGGAGGGGGTGCAGAAAACTCTGTTGAGAACCAACATAAACAGTCTTTGCCTCTTCAGATACAATGGGTATGTCAAAATCAGAGCAGTAATGAGATGACTATGAGATGCATCATGAGCTCACAAATTAGAAGTTGAAAGCATAACTACATTGCATAATTCTTTGCTCAAATGGTTTGATCAAAAGTTATTTTTTAAATTTCATACATCAAACAGAACAAATATAATAAGTTTCTCTGCAATTCCAACACACATTTACTATGGAATTGTTCCTATTAAATATTATTTCTGAATAAGGGACACAGTAAGATTATGCTGTCTGATCATTAACCAACATAATGTTCAAACACCAGCCTTTACAAACAAGTCCAGTAGTCTTTCCAATGTAACCCTAACCCTACACAAATGAATGAAGCACATAGTGCCTTGTAAAAGCAATAACTAAATTATTCAATTTAACTATTTACTAGTATTCCAATAAAATTAATTTCTAGATAAAGCTTTGGATCTCTTTGAACATAAGACTCAAGCCACACTAAGTAAATTTTATTGGCTTTTCCCCCTAATCAAAACTTTTCGTTTAACAACTGTGGGCTCTTGGGAGGTGGCAATAGGAGCTGGGGACATCCAGGGACTTATGCAGCAAGTACAATTAAAGTGACATACTACAGTTTTTCTTTACTAAATATATGTGTTAAATCTGATCTCAGTTGATTTAGAGCATCAGAAAAAATGTCCAGGAAAACCAAACAATGCACTGAAAACCCCCTTCACTTATGATAAATGTATGTTTATGTTTTACTCTAACAACCTAAAGAGGGGTTGTAGTTCTCAGAGCCTGTATTTCTGCATGTGTAAGGCCAAATGTTCAATTCTGAACTGCTTTGAAAAAGTGACATGAACTAAGGGCCTACTTGGACACAGTAGGTGTAAGGTGCATTCCTGAAATTACCTTGGTGCTGAAAAAGTTCCAAAAATAAATATTAAAAAAATCAAAACCCTGAATCTGCTATTAAAATCTTTTGCTAATTACTATTATATGTGGCTGAAAAATTCACTCATCATGGAGGAAAACATATGGTTCTGTGGAATAGGACCAAATTATGGGTGGCAACTCTTGGAAATAAATGTGAATAAATGTGATCAGAAGAAAAGATAGGTTACAAGTTGAAGATTTTCTCTTTAAAAAATAATTCACATAGTCAATACAGCCTCACACTGACAACAACTTTATAATAAATATATTGAAGTATCTGAGCAACTGAACACAGACTCACGATTGCCTTAAGAGTCTTATGGGTAGTTTGTTGGAAAACATCAAAAGACATGAGGACTGTATGATCCAAAGTACTAAAAATATGAATGCCTTTTCAGATCACTGGTAAGAATGAAAACAGAAATTCAGCACAAAGGAATTATGGTAACAGTTTTCATCATTACAGGAAACTGCCCATAGTCTTGCAGAAAGGGCCAGAACCTTACACTACTGCTGTGGACCTACAAGACAGGAGCCATAGCCCTGCTGCTTGCCTGCAGAACTTAACCAAGACTAGCTGTTCACCTTTGTTCTTTCTGTATTCCTAGAATTTTTGTTGATTTAAACGTTAAACTAGCACAAACTGCTGTCTCCTTGGTCGGCAGATGGTTTCTTCAAGGTGCCTTGCAGAACGGAACTAAATGGTCTGTGCCACTGTTCTTCACTGCAAGGTCTGTGGGCCCCAGGCGGAGGCCACCAACTCTCTCATGCAAACGCTCGCTTTGCAGCAGCTGCTCGCTCTCAGCAGAGGTCCTCTAGCTTTAGTTTGCCTGTGCAGTAGTTTGGCTGCTGGGACCTGGAAGCAGCTTTGGGAGCAAGGAGTCAGGAAAACTGCCTGTAACTGTAAGGTGTTAACTTGCACCTTAAGTTAAGGAGTTAAGTGTAAGGTGGTTTGACGGGTGCAGCAGCACGGTGGGGGAAGAATGCAGGAGCAATCAAGCAAATCGTTGTGGTACAGGAAGCATGGAGAGGCAAAGAGCTACATGAGTGGCTCACTTCAGTGCTGGAGGGAAAGGGGCACTGGAAAATGTGGCTGAGAGCAAAGTGGGTTTGCACCAGGAGATTTTGCAGCATTGAGCAGAGCTGAAGACACTCAGTAATGTGAGGAAAAACTCGGCCTAATCCAAGTATTGCCTGCCTCATGACTTGGTGACTGAGCTCTTGCTCGGGAAGGGGAAGGAATAGGAATGGCCCCAAAAGGCCTTTGACAGCACCACCATTTGACTTGGGGTGAAGAACGGCCTCCAAATGGCTTTGGCAGTAGTGTCTAGAGTCAGGGTGGATCCTGCTTAGAAAATAATGATGGCCACCAGCTTATATGAACAATTTTTAAAGTGGCCACTGTTTAAGAGACGGTCTAAATGTAGCATTTCACTTACTGCAAGTCAGACATACGTCTTGGTTTTGAGACTGAAAGCCTTTATAGTCAGATGGAAAAGATATAAACTAAGCATAAAAATTGTGAAATACTGCAAGAACGGTCTGTGTGTACGCAGGATACTTGTTCCCTCTCCAGGAGCTGGGCATGACACAGAACACCTACCAATTGTCTGACCTTGCTTCCATGTCCACCTGGATTGCTGTTGCAGCTGGCAACCTGTCCTTATTTGTGTTCAAACACCTTGTATAAATAGACGGTGGAATGATATGGAGCATTTTGCTCAGCCAACACAGCTCTTAATGTACACTCACAACTCATATAATTGTATGCCCAACAATTCCCTCTGCCCCGCCCCCTGCTTTTTTTTTAAACTCCAGTGAAAAATTGTTACAAAGCTACTTCAATCAACTTGTACAGTAGGGTGTGTAAGCACAGCCCAAAGCTTCCTGAGGCAATTCAAAGAAGCCTTCTGTTCTGAGAGAGAGAGAAAATGAGGTCTATTTCAAGTTACGGGGCTTAGGGTCTCAGGCTCTGGAGTAATGTGCTCTCCCTTTCTCTAGCTGATTTTACTGTTGAATGTGACCATAATCAATCCACATTAATAGAAGAGCTAAAGCAGACATCACTTTAATGGCATGGCTTACAGCAATACCTTTTTCATTTTACTCTAGTGTCAGAAGGCCCAACTTGGACTGGGGCCCTACTATGGGAATAGTGGGAATTTACTTTTTCTCCCCACATCAGCAATATGTGCTGCAAGCAATGATCCATAAAGGAAAAGATCTCTGTTTTGCTATAGAAATGCAAGCTGTGGGCAACAGTTTTGAATTAACTATTTAAATGGGGGGGGTTGTACATTGGAAGAAAGAAACACATGAGTGCCTTTGACAGCTCCCTGGGTCTCTTTACAATAGCTGATATGGCTACTCTATCTATGCAATGCCTTCTATTCCTTCTGTTGCCTATTCAGCCAAGAACAGTGGTGTTCAGCTTGGCTGTAGCACCTGCTTTCTTGGCTTTTAGGCTCCTTGACTATGGCATACATCTATAAAGAAATGTGTGAGTTCAGCAGGTATTTCCTGCAACTGGATTGGATAGAGTATCTAGACCTGCAGAAACCACACTGTAAACCTTTCTGATACCACACTGCTCTGTTCTCTTGAAAACTCAAAATATATTCCCCTATCTTGTAGTGTACATACTTCCCAGAATTGCTAGATTGGCTCTGTGGATGTAATCTGGATTTTGTCAGCAGAAGCTGACTATATGAATGCCCATGTCATTAGTTTATCTATTTACACTTACAGGCAGCTCAATAATCAGAGTTCCCTGAGCAGTAGACACAAAAAAATAAAAATTACAAGTCTATAGCTAACTCCAAGTCACACTCACTTTTCTATCTAGTTTCCATCTGCAGCCCAGAAAGAGGAGGATGGGATGGGTTAGTCATTTTGTCTGCAGCAGCTATATGTTGCAAGCACATCAGCAGGACACTGCCTAAGGGTATTCCACATTGATGCAAAAGCTTTCTGTATTTAATCCCACACAGCTGCTAGCAAGGTGGGATTACTTAGTGGTGAAACAAATGCAATTTGCATAGGCTCTGGAGTCCTCTGTGTCCTCCTGGAGTCCTTGCCATCTTCCAGGCATCTCAAATGGATGGGTCTATATGAACAGTTGGTTAATGGGGGGAAAGGCCCTAAACTGACAATCCAGTGCATGAGCTGATGATAATCTCATAAATGTGCAGAGCATGTACTAAAGCCAAAACTAGACCATGTTTTGTTCTGATTCTTCTGTTGCTTTACCACAGGGGTAGGGCAATGCCAGTTTTGTGTCCTTAGAATATCATATACACTGGTAGACTATAGGGATGCTTGTGGCAGGAGGGAGTAGAATTAAACAAAATACCACAAGTGCATATTTGAAGTTCATAAACATAATTGACTATTGTTAAGGAACCCTGGACCAGGCAAACAGGCATGAGGACTCATGAGATCCTTCTGTTGAATGCACAAACCCACACCTTAAATAGTTCACTCAAGACTGTTCCCCTCATCCCTCTGCATCTTCCATTTCTATTATCAAATAGCCATTCCTCCTTAAGAATACTTTTGCTGGGTCAAACTATGGTCCTTTTGATCCAGCATCATGATCCAAGTATCAACCAGCAGGTAGTGCATGATTACTGGAGGTCTTTCACCCACACCCAATGTATGATGCAGCCATGCAGTGCTTGAAATGGTGTGAAGGTGGGTGGGCAGGGGAGATCAATTTGAGTATTTTTTTAAAATCTTTTTAAATGCAAATTTCAAAATCTAAACACAACAAAACAAAGGGCAGAATATTTTTTTAAATGCCATTTTCATGAGATTTCAGAAAATCAACTACAGTGAATGCATATATATTGTCTTCTGCCCTTTCTATTTTACATATTCTAGTATATTGAAGATAGTTGTGCTTAGATTTCAAAAAAGATTTCAAAAGCATTTGTCCATTTGTAAACTATAACTTTAAAAAATCCTTTGAAAATCAAAGTTGTCCACCCACTGGGTTATTGCAGATAGAAATA